AAAACCTGGGGAAGGAGATCACTGAATCCCCACACCAGAGGTAACAGTCTTTTAAAACCATCTCTGTGGTGCTGAGGGTCAAACCTGGAGCCTCACATGCATACCAAGCAAACAGGATCCCACAGCGGCACCAAGCAAGCCCAGAAACATATCCTCACCGACCAATTACATTACCAGTGGAGAGCCTTGGTATAAACCCTAAACAAAGCTAAGTCTTAGGGAGCTGTTTTTAATCTTAGGATGAACCTGTGACTACAAATAACAGTTTTGAACAGTATAGTAATACTAATCCAAATTTGGGGGCACCCCGAGACCATGAGCCAAAGTACTTCCACACTTAATTACAGACAGCAATAGACGTTTTAGAAGAAAGTGGTTGCTTACTATTCCTCGTTCACAAACAATTTAAAATACGTTTATTTAATAAATTAGCTGCAGTTGAAAACTTGAAGTTATGTACAGTTTTCATATATTTGTAGATTTTTGTCAATATATACTAGAAGTCTGAGGAAATGACTTGTGAGCATTGGTTCAGAAGGGAGCTGTAAGGAGAAGTACCTGCATGTGGTTTCTCAGAAATATCTAGATTCCAGATACAGTCAGCCGATACTTCCCACCATCTTGGATTTCTTTATAGTGCCTTTAGAACCCTGCTGTGGTATCCCGAGCATTTCTCCCTTCAAGGACACCCCCGCTACCCCGTTCTCAGCCGCTGCTATGAATACTTGCCCCTGACAAAAGGATAGCAAAGGGAATTACCATATTTTGTTCATTTGATCAGTGCCTCTTCTGTTAGGCCTAGAACTGAACATGGTTACCCATCACCCTAGCTGACTGTTGCTAAAGCGCTTTGCAGAGTCTGCCTCTAAACGACCCTAATGTCTGTTAAGTACCACACGCTAAGACTTAATGCTCGCATTCTGCACGTTAATTCACCACCTCTACGAATTCATGCTTGTATCTCGTTTTGTACATTCTAGATGCTGGCCATCAGTGACTCCAGAGCCTACGGTCCTAACCACCAGTCCACAGAACATACCCGATTCCCCCCATTGCCGAATGTTCAAAAATAGCACAGAGGAAGACACAGAGTAGAAAATGGAGGGCTGGCTGTCACTTTGAGAAGTGAGGTGGCATGTCACAAATGGCAAGACACAAATGAACAACGTGTTTTTAAAGCTACCTACTGGGCTTGAGTTTGAACCAAAACGTAGGCGCTCTCACTACAGAGGCATTGAAGGGACTAGAGGTGTGACAAAGTACTTGACATATAAAAGGCTTATAGAAAGATGCATGTGGCTTTCTCAGAGCTGTTGGAATTAACGGCATAACAGACGTGGTTAAAAAAAAAAAAAACCTCATAATTACCATTCCGAATCTTAACTTCCTCCTCCAAGCTTCGATAAGAGGTTTGAAAAGTTCAAAGTTCTAAGGCAGAAATGTCAAGGGAGAGTGGGAGGCGGGTATCGAAACGGTCGGTGAGGAGGGCCTTTCTTACTTTAAAGTTTAATTCAATAAAACCTCAAACATGCAGCTGGCTGGAATCAACAAAAAGGTAAAAGAAAAAAACCTCTGGTGGTGTTTCAAGTCCGCCCTGACCACTTTGCTCTTACTTCTTCCCCTTACGTAGCCTTGAACCTGTTCTCCGGTTCCAGCAATCTGTAGACTATGATCCTGTATAGTGCCCTGTCATATAAAAGCGACACCTTACCACACCCGCTCCTCTAAACGCCTCCTGGAGCTTTGTGTTCACACCCTTCAGGGGTTTGGGGATCGTTTTTATTCTTACCTGCCATGGGTGATTTTTATCCAAGACGCGGCTCAGACACCCGATCTCCACTTACTCAGTAATTTCCTTTATTCGGTCTTGGCTGCCTTCCGGAACGCAGAGAAAGGCAGGTGCCTGAGAGCGGCGCAGCCCGACCCTGGCGAGCGTGCGAGCCGGCATAGAGCCTGGCACTCCTGCTCCGGGCAAGCGAGCGTGCACGGTGCTACCTGCTGCGGATGCAAACGCCGCGCCCTCCGCCCGCTGGCCCCGCCCCGGTACGTGCCTGGGCTCAGCGCCCGCTGCAGCCGGCCGGTGTGCGGGGCGCGGGACCGCCTGCGGCTCCCGCCTACGTGTGCGAGTGCATGTGCGAGGTTGGCGGGGGCGGCCGCGCCTCGGTCCCCACGCAGCCTGCGGGGACCGAGTTCCCAGTGCGCTTTCCGATGGGGCCTGGGCTGTCCCCATCAAATGCTTTCGGCTGCTGGCTGTTCTTTGTGGGACAGAAATTCCCGAGGTCTCTGAACATGTTGGATCATCGCAGTTTTAAATGAATCTTTATGTAATCCAGTCAAAAAAACAAGGAATTCCAGCAGGAGATGGGGGTAGGGGGCGTTGTCTGGAATCTCAACCCTCCAGAGGCTGAGGCAGGAGGATTCCTCGAGTTCAAGGCCAGCCTGGGCTACCGAGGGAGATGGTGTCTCACTAAATAAAGAATAAGTATATAAATAGAGTTGCCCAAACGGCCCTCCCCTTTAAAAAGCTTATTTTGAATAAATCGCCTTGGGATGTCTGATTAAATATATGAAAACTCTAGCTGCCCCAGGTGGTTGGTTTTGTTTGGTTGAATTTTTTAATTTGGTATGGGGTTCCCCCCCACCCCCCGCGCGCTCGTTTTGTTGTATGCTGACTGAGAATCGTTGGGAGAAGACAATCTTGTTGGAAGGACGGAGATGAGTTTACAGAATATGGAAGCGCTTGAGGCTTTACATTTAATCTCTTGTAATCTTAGCGTGACGGTTGTAGTTTGCAGTGAAGTACAAAGACGAGAAGAGCCGGGAAAAAAAGGAAACTCGCTCTGCACAGCCATCGCTCCCGATGCTCTGCAGCTTTATCCCTTGAGGACTGTTTGTCTGCATCAGAAGTAAGGGTCCATTTTTTAAATCAGTGGTTGAGGTGTTATAAATACTTTCTGCTAATGAAAACTAATCTGTAGCATGTGATTAAGAACAAAAGCAGGAGCCATTTAAAGAGAGCCTTTTGGTCTCTGTGGATGTTTAAGTCATAAAGCAGCAACTATCTACTGAAATATCGCAAAGCATAATTTTTTTTAAAAGCAAGTAATATATATCTCATATATATGGATTATATATATCGTAACAAGAAGGCTAGGATTCTGTGAAGTCAAATTTATTTTTAGAAGTCTTGGAATTAATCAAACTCACTTGTGCCTTTCCAAATGCTTTTTTTTTCTAATGGCTTTACAAACGAATTGTATACAACAGTACGACAAACTCTTTCCCATAAACTACATTGTGTGGTGACCAGTGTGAACTGGCCTGGCTGCTAATCTGCTCCAGGACCTTTAAATCAGTGTAATCAGTGTAAACCACAGAGAGCGCCTCACAGCATGGACTCGTGGACGCTCTGCAAATGCCTGTCACCTGGGCGGACATCTTCATCACGCCTCTTTAACAACCCCCCCCCAAACTTCCATGATAATTTTTAGATGTTGCAAGCTCCCCTCCCCCACCCCTCCAGCTCTGAATTCCTGGTTGTTTCACAATCCTTCCACTTGGAATGCACGAGGGGCAACACGTGATTGGAGGAGAAGGAGGGTTTCTTATGTAATGAGGGAACCAGAAAGGAGTCCAGTCATAGGAAGGAAGTGGGGAGGACAACACTGCTGTCTAGCTTCTCTCGGGGAATGCATTTCATTCACTGATAATTGTACAAGAACACCATCTCAAACTGGTGCCTGCCGTCAAGAGTGTGCTTCATTCCCTGGATGAGGTACCTTCAACTAGTTGAGCAAATAGGTATTTTCTTTTCTTTTTTTTTGTTTTGTTTTG